CAACAACAACAACAACAACAACAACAACAACAACAACAACAACAACAACAACAACAACAACAACAACAACAACAACAACAACAACAACAACAACAACAACAACAACAACAACAACAACAACAACAACAACAACAACAACAACAACAACAACAACAACAACAACAACAACAACAACAACAACAACAACAACAACAACAACAACAGCTGCAGCGACAACAAAGTCAACATTTGACTTTGTCAAATGTTGGGACATGTCAAATGTTGGGTCAACATTGACTCACCAACAACTTGGCGCACATCGTTATGCTGAGCTTGAGCGGAGGTTGTATGCTCAGCTCCTGGCAGCGGCGCATCAAGGCGCCCGTCTTGGCAAGGAGGGTCTCCGAGAACAGTCTTGCCCTACAGTCATCCCCTGAAGTACACATGACGTTCATCAGCTTCAGGGCATGCAACTGATGGACGTTTCCTCTTGACAGGCAGGACAGTAAGACAGACTCAAGGCCTCTCTCGACCATCTCCATGTGCAGACTCGGAGCTCGCTGCGCCAGGTTGACCATGGCGATCATCGCATGGTTGCTCAGTGGATCACTCACTTGACTCTCCTGGTTGCCTGCGCTTCGCACCACCTTGAGCAGCAGCTCCACGAGCGGTAGTGAGCTCTTGCTGTCTGCCTGCAGAGCTGGGATAAGGTTGATGATACACTTGAGCACGTCACACTTGAACTCCTCCTGCGCCTCCTTCTCCTCCTGCTCCTCCTTCTCCTCCTCTCCCCCAGGGCCCGGCGCGCGACAGTGGTAAAACCCCAGCAGGAGGTCAAGCATGTGAGCCTCGACGGCCCTGCTCCTCAAATCTCCATCTTCACACAGCGTCGCGACGAGGTTGATGACCCTGTGCAAGACTCGATGCCTTGCTGCTGACGGCGGGTCGTCCTTGTCCAACCCAACCAGCCCACCTGCTTTCTTCACCATGGCGTCTAACAGCTCAACACTCGCCATCTTCTCTCTCTCGCTCGAGAGCTGCATCTTCGACATGTACTCTTGCAGCATTGCAAGAGTCTCGTTGTCATTGAGACCGTCGAAATCCCTAGCAGGAGAGCTCATTGGACCCAAGAAGGGGAGGGGTCCCGAGATCAGCGGAGGGGGCAGGAGCCGGTTGAACTCGCTTACTTGTTCGATGCCAACAATCCTTCAGATCTCATGGACTCCGCTGACATTGCTTCCTCTCCCCTCCTCTCCCGTCTTCTCCTTCCCGCATCGCCCTTGCCAGCAATGTCCCTTCCTTCATGGCTGTCGGGGAGAGCACAGGGTTGAGTAAAATGCTTTTAGTACAGCAAAACTTGACTACCCCACCCACGTTCATCTCACTCTTTCTAACCCAATATATGATATACCTCATATGGTAGGAAAATATACCGGTACTTCAAGTACCCCACCTACAAAATTGAGAATTTTTCATTCTGCTCTGTAAACAAGTCCGCCTCAACTATTATGAAAGAATGAATCATAAGGCAGAAAGCTTTAAAAGGCATGTCGACATCGGATTGCCGATGGGGGCAGCACAGGATCGATGGGAACTGGCCAGGGTGGAGGAGAGCAGTACGAAGACAGAGTTGGACGAGGAGCAGGCAGCAGGCAGCAGGCAGCAGGCAGCAGGCAGCAGGCAGCAGGCAGCAGGCAGCAGGCAGCAGGCAGCAGGCAGCAGGCAGCAGGCAGCAGGCAGAGAATAGGTCAAGTTTCCGGTGGTTGTCGAGTCCTCAAGGGCTCAAGGCCGAGGGGGTCATGCTTGAACTACCGCCTCCCAGCTCTTGGGACATGCTGGCCTACTACCTCAACTTGCTTCCTCTCGCTCTAGCTGCAGCATGGCGGGCAGTGTTCTGGTCATTGGGTATACGAATGTGCATCCTATCCTCTCCTCCGGAGAAGCGATGGGAAGAGGGGGAGAGCTGTGCAGGATGTCCGAGGTACGTGAGCAAGCCTCTCGCGCGACAGGCGGGGAGGGGGAAGGAAATTTCTGCCATCACCTTGCTTCTAGTCGAGAGGAGGGTGTATCACTTCCCCCACACTCACGGGAGGCTGTTCCCGGATCACATCCGAGGTGTAGCAGACATCTTGCAGCAGTGGAATCAGCCGCACGAGATCTGCATGGCGGGGTTGTTTCATTCGTGCTACGCAACCGAGATGTTCCCGTAAGACAGCGAGTCAGGATCGCACTCCCTACTGAGAGGAGCATGTTGACAGATGGAAGCTCTTCTCGCTCACCGAGAGATCGAGGCTGCAAGAAACCCTCGGGCAAGAGGTGGAAGAGATCGTCTTCCTGTACTGCACATGCTCGCAGAACGGCATCTATCGGCAGGTGAAGAGCCTCATGCGACGTGGGCAGGACATCCCAGCGGAGGGGTTGTAAGTTCCGTTCCCTCCTCTCCTCCAGCCTTGAGCTCTTCCTACTCAGCCTGGTCACCAACTATTACACCGGGCAACAGTGCTATCTCCCTCACAAGCTCGCAGCCAAGGTTCTAGTCGTGCTGGGTGAGATGACGTGGAGAGGCTGTCACGTCTTGCTCACCGTGCCTGCAGGGGCGGACTTGATGGAGCAGGATCCATTCTTTGACCTCTACCTGTCGTGCGCGTGCTTGAAGATCGCGTCGAGGCACCTCCAGGTAACGTCTGGACATGGCGATGGTTGAGACTGATGCGGGACCGGCAGGAAACTCCTCGCCTCGTCTCCCTGCTCGATCGGGCTGGGTTCTTCCAGAAGAATGAGAAGGAGGTTCTTCAATCTGCTACCCACCATGGAGGTGCTAAGCTTGCATCCCTAGGTCAGAGAAGTGTCGAAGGCGGCCAAGAAAGCACTGTCAGAGGCCTTCAGCAGCACAAGATCCGCGAGCGGACAAGATGAGCTGCAAGCCAGATTGACGAAACTTCACCGGCAAGCCCCATGGCTTTTCGAAGGAGCAGTCGAGTTGAGCAGACTGACTGACGAAGCACTCAGCGACGAGGAGAGGTGAGAGGAATCGTCATCAGATATGTGCCGACTTGTTCGCATTCGCATATGATGCACTCTTTTGTTCTTGATATCCGATGGTGATCGATTTCATGCTTCCGTACCTGCGATCCAACAACTCTTCCAATTTCCTCGTGTCTGTCAACTGCCATGTTCGCTGTCCACATTCTCCTTCTCCTTCTGCAACTCTGCATCCCTTGTTTGCCTCCTCAGTCTGTCGTCTTGCAAGAGGGCACGTAAGAGCTCTTGCTCACCGGCAATGCAGGCTGATCTCGAGGCAATGGAGCGAAGCGTGGGGGACGAGGTGGTCGCGTCCCTCAACCGCCATGGAAACACGGCGGTATGCTGAGACCTCATTGCTTCGACAGACATGAACAATCGAGCATGCTGATGATGCTGTGGAAAACACGCATGTCAGTTACATAAATCGATAGAGAGGCTCAATGTGCCATGTCGATGCGAATCATAGACTTTCAACAATGACTGTTCAAGTCTGTCCATGACACATTCCACTTTTTGTCTCGGACTTGGAAGTGAAATGCGAGGCTCAAATTAAGAAGACAACTTGTTTAACATCTTACTTTACAAGAAACGTATTGTACACAGGCAGCAAAGGGCTTCCCTACTACCAGTTAGATCATCTCCAAGAGATTAGATTGGGACATCTTTCGAGCCACAATACTCGCGTAGAATCGGCTCCCACTGCTTCTCTTCATCAGCTGCAGGTTCGACTGGCTGCCACGAGGCGTGCTTGCTCCAGTGTTGGTTGGGGACGGGCTTCGTCTGACGGGGGACGGGCTTCGCCTTGAGCGATCATCCGATGTCGGGCTCGGTGACTTTCTCATAGTGTCAGTTCTCAACCTCTGATGCATGGTTGTCTGTTGCTTGACAGCGACGTTGACTGTGACGTTCTGGCGCTTCTTCTCTTCAATCTTCCTCCGTTTCTTCTGAAGCAAACCAACGAAGAATGCAATAACTACAAAGGCTGAGACCATCACCATTATCAACCCCCAAGCCCAGTTCCTCTCATCGTTGAAGCGTTGGATTTCGTCCTGAAGCTTTTCTTTGAACGCTTGGTCATGAATGTGATGGTAAGTGGCAAAAGGGTGGCTCAACGAAGCTTCCATAATCACTGGGTGACAGTAGAAATCCGCAGTAGAAATAGAAAGTCTGAGAAGAAGGAAGAAAGCAGAGGAGAAGTAAGAGTGATTGAGGAGATTTAGGACAGGGATTCACTTGATATGCCTGAAAGTAGCCAAGGAGGAAAAGATTGCTTCTGCTTATTCTCCGTCCTCTCACGCTCGCCCTCCGTTCTCGTTGGCTTTTCTACCCTCGCTGGCCCCCTACAAAGATATTAACCACCCTACCCTTTTGATATACATATCTACTGACCATTGATACCCCACCCCCAGATGTATTTCCATGATCACAGATAACCCACCTTTTCTAGGAGATAAACAGGGGTACTGAAGTACCCTACCTCTACAGTATATCCCAACCGATTTCTGGTGCAGCCCACCCCCCAGGTTCCGTCGATTCGCTTCGTCCTCTGCTTTGCTCCAAATCTCGAAAACCACATCCTTTCGGTATATCAAGATCTCCCGGTACCACCCACCCCCCACAGCGAGAAGCGCTATGGAGTCACACTATACCTGTAGCATGAATATTTCTCAATTGGGATGATATCAAATATTGGGATACATCGAATGCTCTCAACTAGGTCAGCGAGATTGGGTAGGTGCGGAATAGGAAAACCGACAACTGTTGGCGCTTCCGGACTCTCGGAACGATCCTGTGCTGACATAACTGCGTGATCCGGGATCAATTAAAACAGTTATTATATTTTTGATGACAGTCTATGTGGATCAAATGTAGTCTTTTCACCTTGACAGTACGTAATGCGGCCATTACAAAGTTTTCATTCCGAGACTATCGAGGACATGACGTTCCAAAGGGTCAGCCAATTAGCTGAGAGGCCCGGCGTCACTGCAAAGTGCAATTGTTGGTTCGGAACGCGCTGACGGATCTCTTGAGATACTGATTGTATCTCGTGACGTATCCGTCAGCATGTTGTCAGCATTAGCAGTGTAACTGTAGTAATCATCCGGATATATCCGACAGGACTGCCTTGCTGACACGCAATCTTCAGATGCTGGTATATCTCACGAGCTGAGTATAGTAAAAAAAGGGCAACTGTGGTAAACTCATATCAATTCATTGGCTCTCTGGCCTGGGCGACGGAACCCGTGCGCCACGATGGAGCCGACACCGCTCAGCCCCCTCCCCTCCCACCATCCCCTCGACGACCACCAAGCCATCAGATACGCCCTCCGTAGCGACATGCAGCGCCTCGAGACCGAGAGGACGCTGCTGATCTGGGGGATCATGCTCGCGACGGCTACGGTGATCGCAGTGCTTCTGGGGTACATCTACGCGGGCCTGCACGAGCGGAGACGCAAGGACGTTCGACCGAAGAGGCTGGCGAGCTACAGGCTGAGCGAGGAGGAGACTATGGGATGGGCAAGGCTGGAGGGCGAGAAGAGGTCACCCAGCCCGGCGGGTGAGGAGCAGATGCCGAGGACACAACGCAGAGTATCTCCGAGGGGAGGGGGAGGTGTGCCAGGGATAGTGAGGACGAGCAGCGGGAGCCGATACTACGCGAGCCTGGTCAGTCGGAAGGTGATGATGAGATCATAATCGTCTAAAAAACTCTGTAAACTATTTTATTGTTTCGATTAAACCTGGGGATAGTTGTTGCGACAAGCTCTTAGAATATCTGATGTTTGTGCATGGATGATCAAAATTTGAAGGGCCCTCGCACATCAAGCGGAACTGAGACCAGAACCGTGATCAGTCCGTGCAAAGTGTGCGATTGACATTCATCCTCAAGCTAGTCATGCAGATGCAGTCTCAAAGGTAAGCCAAGCTGGAGCAAAATGCATTAGAAGTTCACTCCTGTGGTCACCAAGACATAGCGACTCCCGAGGTTGGTTGCCTCTTCTCCTACTTAGTGTGATGTGAAACAGCAACGATCAAGCAGCTTACAAGATGTGAGAACACGAGAATGATGAGACGACCTTGTGATACCGCATGCCAGCATGAGCAACCATTCTGACCCTTTACTCAAAGTTAAGTTAAAATCGGTACGAGGCACGTACAAAGGCAGGTGAACCTCTCCCGGAGCCGATTGGGGCAAGTTGACCGGCACACCCGCCGAGAGTTCCGGCGGAAATATCCGGGGAGTCGGATACTTCCGATGCTGTAGTAAAAAAACTGGTACAGTAAAGAAAAGGTACAGTTTAGACTCGTGACACACTCGCTCACCCTCCCTCCCTCCCTCCCTCTCTTCACACTCCCTCCCTCCCTCCCTCACTCACTCACTCACTCACTCACTCACTCCACACGCCCTCCATCCATCCATCCATCCACCCTCCCTCCATCAACCCTCCCTCCCTCACTCCCTCCCGCTCTTCACACTCCCTTACTCAAGGCTCTGGTATGGAACCTTCGCCGCTCAGCCCCCTCCCCTCCCACCATCCCCTCGACGACCACCAAGCCATCAGATACGCCCTCCGTAGCGACATGCAGCGCCTCGAGACCGAGAGGACGCTGCTGATCTGGGGGATCATGCTCGCGACGGCTACGGTGATCGCAGTGCTTCTGGGGTACATCTACGCGGGCCTGCACGAGCGGAGACGCAAGGAAGCTCGACCGAAGAGGCTGGCGAGCTACAGGCTGAGCGAGGAGGAGACTATGGGATACAGGAGGGCAAGGCTGGAGGGCGAGAAGAGGTCACCCAGCCCGGCGGGGGAGGCGGCACAAAGGAGGGCATCATCTGGGGGCTCTCCAAGGGGGGGGGGAGGTGTGCCAGGGATGGTGAGGACGAGCAGCGGGAGCCGATACTACGCGAGCCTGGTCAGTCGGAAGGTGATGATGAGATCATAAGGTTGCGAAGGTGGAACGATGGAGAAGAGGAGGCTTCAAAACGGATTCAATAACATTTTGTGCAAACTTGTATCGGACCCCCTGACTCAGTGACGAAAAATCATTTGTACATCTCAATAAACCACTAAACGTTTGAATGAACTTCTCCCAGTCTACGAGATATTGTTGCTCTTCACGAAATTCTTCAGCAGTATGAGAGTTCAATCAATGGTATGATCAAAATCTTGTCCATCTTCTTCAACTCCGTTACAATCACAAAGCAAAGCGATACCTTGTTATCGTTATGAATATTCACCAGAACCATTTTCTACATCATCAAATCTATCATCCTCAACAAAAAAAACTCGTTATCATGATAACAACTTTTTACATAACCCTCCATTCATCTAATTCGAACGATCATCAAATTTTCCATATTCGTTGTCTTGTTGTTGTCATGCTTGACTTCTGTGTCATCTATCAATCATAATCAATACTATCCTTGTGGACAGAAAAAGTAAATGATCATTCCTATCTTTGACAACCTCCTTCCAGCGCACCATCAGACAACTGATTCCTCTGTCATCAAACAGCTGAAGTTCTGAAACCAATCGTTCAGGAATGTTGTGACTTGGAATGACACTCTCGCTCAACTTCCCTGCCTCTCCCGCCCCTTTCTTCTTTACATCTTCCCATCTGTCTTCCCTGTTCCTTTCCAACCCTGTCTGTCTCACTTTCATTCGTTCTCTCCCAACCTCCCTGACGCAGACAATCTGTCCTCTTCCAAAAATGCAGCAACCCCTTTCGCCTTCACATCCTCCCCCAAATCTCCTTCTCTCTCCCTCTCTTCAGGGATCTCATACTGCAGTACTCACACATAAGAAGTACGCGTGGCCCTCTCTCATCGTCAAACAGTAAAGAATAAGTGATTTTGCACTATCGCAACTCTCAGCCGGACACAGATCAATGAAATGGCTACTTATCATTGCAGCTAAAGCTCTTTGGATCGTCACCATCGTTCTCCTGTATTGACATGAGGGATGGCGCTCAGAATTCCTGCGACCGAGCAGAGCGACCATGCAAACTTTCTTATGCTTTTCTGAACCTCTTGAAAGGTAGGACATCACACAAACAAAGTCATCCATCAGAATATACTTGTATCAGCCGATGCCTTGCTCCTGACAACACCGCCAGCATGGAGTTAAGCCATTTATTCCCCAAAAACATAACGACCTACGAGCTCTCGGTTTCACTCAAAAATGCTTACTTCCTCTTGAGGGTGGAGATGGTCTGCTGGAGGACGGAGTCGGCGGTGGCAGCAGAGACCTCGATCTTGACGGACTGGGCCTTGACGAGCATCTCGTCGTCCTGGGAGTTGGCCTTGGCGCCGGTGTACTCCTTGTTGGCGTGGGCGGTGCATCCCCTGTGGTCGAAGACGGTGATGACGGGGGCGCGTCCGGACTTGTCCATGGCCATGGAGAGGGAGGTGGCCGGGGAGCGAAGGCGGGGAGCAGGAGTGGAAGGAGCGAAGGCGGCGGCAGAGCCGATGAGAGCAGCGAAGGCAACGGAGCGCATGGCAGTGGATGACGCCGCTTTTTCTTCAATGCTTTTATAGCCCCAATGTCCCACCCCCACCCTCACTCTAGCACTGGAGAAATGAAGGGTGGTTGCATAAGGGGGTGGATGAGCGTCCGAACCGAATGGTCGGAAGAAGGGGGACGGGCCGCGGGGGTGGGTAGAAAAAGGAAATAGGGTAGGTGGTGACGGTGGTCTCGAATCTTCCCTAGCACCCTTTGTTTGTTCGATGTTGATCTAGGTAGGGTAGCCCCAAGATTGTTTGAAGAGTTTGAAAAAACGTGTTTTGAAGAAAATAGTAACGTGACTTCTTTCCTGACGCGTATTATTTCTGAATTGAAAGGTCGCAGCTTGACCAATTTTTCTACCCTACCCCCAGGATCCCCCTACCAATAGCACCCCACCCTGGTAAAGGTGTCCTCCTTTCTATTGCAGAGGTCCATGTACTGTACCCCCTTGCGCACAACTTTGCTGGTAAAAGGCAGGGGTCCATCCTATCCAAGATCCGCCCACTCGCAAGCTACAATTTCTTTCATCTTTCTGTCATGACCACCCCTCATTGCGACTACCCAAAGGCCACTGAAAACCCTACCCTTGACTGTTCCCCATTACTACTGCTGTGTTCCTTTTGCTCGATGTACCCCTCCACTCGATGTACCCCTCCAGCAACCACCCCTCTGTTAGGTCAACCAGCCTCCATTCAGACCTTTACACCCCTGGTGGTGTTCGTTTTGTAGCTATAGACATACACCCCATCGGAGACCACCCCAACTTCGAGGATTCATTGGGACACCGGTGGATTGTACAGCGGATCCCGGACGAAAGTTGGGTAGTCAGCAGGAGGGGTGGGGTGTGCTTTTAAAAACAAAAGAGGGGGAGGGGAGGGTCTGCTGTAGAAAAAGTGGCAAAAGATTCAGAGAGAGATAGCACCCGTCCTTTTCAGCAATATATAAGGGGTCAACCACCAGGAGACTGAAAAGAAAAGCTTGGGGGATTTAAATTTCAGAAAATGATTCATAAGATTAAAAATATAATAAATCTAAAAGTAAGTTATACAAGGGGGGTGGTAAAATACGGACGCATCTCTTTGTGACGGGAGGGAACGAGGGGTACTGGAAATTTAGGGCAATGGAGGGGGTTGTCAGATGACCATCAAGTTTTCGTGGCTAAAATGGTGTGGTAGGGTACTTATACACACCGGTTCTTTCGTCTCAAATGCAGTGGATTGAGGGGGTGAGGGTATCCCCATCGGTCATTGGGGGTACCGGGGGGGGTCGGGGCTATAAAAGGAAGGGACGAAACAATCCACCACACCTCCGCCATGCGCTCTGTTGCCTTCGCTGCCATCATCGGCTCTGCCGCCGCCTTCTCTCCCTCCATGTCCCTCGACGTCTCCCGCCGTCAGGTCGTCCAGACTGGAGCTGCTGCCGCCGCTGTCGCTCCCTTCCTCCAGCAGGTTCCTGCTCAGGCTGCCATGGACAAGTCCGGACGCGCCCCCGTCATCACCATCTTCGACCACAGGGGATGCACTGCTCACGCCAACAAGGAGTACACCGGCGCCAAGGCTAACTCCCAGGACGACGAGATGTGCGTTAAGGTTGCCTCCGCCAAGATCGCCGTGTCTGAGGGAGACGCCGCGAAGAAGCTCCAGGAGTTCATCTCCTACCAGGCCAAGGGCATCGATGGACCCTACACTGGCAAGGGCAAGAAGTAAGCATGTTATTTCTTTTTGTTGTATGAGACATGGAGGTGTTGAGTCAAGTTTTTACTTTGATTAAACTCAACAATCAAGTCGAAAGCTGCCTTTGTTGAACTTCCATGACCTGGAAAACCTTCGTGTCTACTGTCCATGACTTGAAAACCTTCTTGTCAAGTGTAGACTTGATCTGTTGAATCTATTTCGACTCGAAACATGAAAATTCATGGTTCCGGGAAACGATGAAGGGCTAACAATCAGAGCAGCATCCAAGTTAGATTCGAATTGCACTAATGACTCTTACTAGTTTGCAGAACATGTGATGGATCCTGATCGTTGTTTCCCTGACGCTCTCTGGCAGGGAATGGACCATGCTTGTCCCATCAATATTTCACCTCAGTATCAGCAGGGGAGATTCCCCCGATATACCGCTAAATCAGGAAAAGGTTGCAAAATCATTGCAGGAACACCGTTCACATTCTGTTGCTCGCTGTGCGAATTGGAGATTGGTGCCATTATGAAAAATGAAAGGGGTTTGAAAAACTCAGTATCATCTTTCCGATCGAGACAGCTGCAAGGACGAACAGAGCCAACGAAGGCTACAGCCCAATACTTCAGGCGAGAGTCCTCATGTTGTGATGACCCTCCCGCGTGCATCAAGAATCCCTCCACACGGTTACAAACTTTCCATTTCTACCTCGGATCCTTAGTTTATCAGCAGCACCTGCCTTAGCAATGGTGGCGTCTTACCAACTTTTAAAGTGCATCAGATTTTTGAATGCGTTGAAAACTTCATTTTTCTGAAACATGTTTATGACGTAGAGGTCAGGACTTCTTTTGATAACCTAAAAGCCTTTGGTGTTGCTTTCCTTCCTTCTCAGTCATATCACCAGGGCGAGGGCTCGAATAGTGTTGATCTGAAGACCTTGGCGAGAGAGTTCGGATGAGCTTCACTGCGACCTCGAACACATTCGACAATTTCAACGAAACCTTTGAACTGCTCTTCTTCCTCTCAGCATCGTCAGGGATGTTGAGATTGTGTACTCGTATTCTTGGGAACAAAGCATCCTTGTTCTGTTCAGTCCTGATGCCGTCATTTGGCAGACCTGGATTCCCTGATAGAGGGTTATTGGTAACCATTTGACTTTCCGACTTGGCAGATTTCAAGAGGTACAACATGAGTGGTTTATGCGACGACCGCGGCGAGAAAGCACAATCAGAAGCATTTGACAGTTTGTGCTTGAGTGAGAGCGACTTTCTTTCATGCTCGAGCATATCAAGCACCTCGAGTTTGTCAGAGGGAGACAGCTTCAGCTTCTCACACCACTCATTGCACTGATGGGTGTTGAAGAAGTCATACATCCCCTTCAACCCCCTGTTTCCGCAACCAAAACCATCCCCGTCAATCGTGTGAATCTGCGGGTCCGTCCACTCGCTCTCTGTACCCTGGATGTCACAGATCAACAACTTCCCCTTGCTCCAAGTCCATGTGAAGTGGCTGAAGGCTTGAGGGATGGGGTTTGTCTTCTGCACGTAACCGTGATTGTTGTTGTACTTCTGAAACTCTCCGTCCAAGAACCTCTCCACAAAGGCATTCCTGCCATCCTCGAACTCCACGATGCATATTGGCAGGAAACTTACCTGCACGCCCCTTGCTCTTGCTCGGAACTTTCTGCAGAGATCAACGCTGAGGACCTGCAGGATTCATTCAAAGTCAGTCAAAGTGCGAAACAAGGGCATCTTCTCCTCACCTGCCCGAGGGCCTCATCGAAGTACCTCGACGCATGGGAAGCCTTCTTGAAGTACTTGATCACATACGTCCGACCTTCCTCCTCTCCCTCCTTCCACGCCTTGTGGCAAACTCGGAACCCTCCATCGGCGAAGGGAAGCTTTGAAATCCTGTAGACGCACCGGCGTACTTGCCACCTCCCGCCTACTGACCGCAGGTAATACTCCTTCACTGCCTCCACGTTGCATTCGTCTCGGTTGCTGACGCTGAACATTTCAACCAGTCTCGTAGCACTTATGTGCAGCGCATGCTACAACACAAGTCTTGACATGATCAGTGAGGAATGTTGGGAGAAGGGGACGTGGGTAAGAGCAGAATCTGAGAGGTGTGATCGGGTCTACCCAAAATGCTGTGAAATAAAAATTGGGACAGAAGGAATTGATGGGATGTGGTGGAGCTAGAAAGAGAGCCTGAGGTAGAGGCAGGAGACTCAGATCAGGAAAAGAATTGAGAAGGAAATAATGCAGGCGTTGGTGAAACGAGATGAAGCGAACTCGGAAGAACTAAGCGAAGCAGCGAAAGCTGAATTTGGAAGGAACAGGTACAACAGGAGATGACTGTGGAACAATACACTATGATGGAAGCAGAGAGGGAGAGGAGAAGAGAGCAGAGGAGGGGAGGAGAGAGCAGAGGAGAAGAGAGGAGGACAGTGAGGAAGAGAGAGAGTGAGGGAGACTCCGGGAGGAAGAGAGGGGAGAGGAGAGGAGAGTTGGAAGGAGCCTGATCTAAGCAAGTGTGGGGAACAATAATAACAAACTCCTCCAGTCGGAAAATGACCAGGGGGTGGTCCTTTACGTTAGGGTACTAAGCGGGATAATTGGGGGTAGGGGTAGATACGGGCCCTAATCCATAAGCCGCCAGCAGCGGGTGGCATTATCTCAAGTTGGAGGTTGGATTCGAAATACTAGACTCATTTTTTGGAATTTTTAAGGCATTTCTAAATTTGAAGATTCTCACTGTCAAATCTGATGCCTTTTTAACTAAACTTTGAGTCGTCATCATCGCAGGCTGATCGGCACGTGATCACTGTCACCCTCGGGCCCCGGTCGCCCCGGCTCTCAGCGGCAAGCTTCGGAAGTTTACTCCAAGTCAATAGTAAGTGAAAAATCAGTGAGAGCCCTCTCGGACTCCGAGCCTGGGCCCGGGGCCCATCGGCGTGCGGCAGTGCGGGGTAGGCCCGGCGTGGAAGTTCAGTCAACAGTGTCCTACCTGGTACGGTACCCCCCACCCACATAGCCTACTAGCCTAGTAGCATCGGCTTGCAAGTTGTGGTCAAATAGTACCCTACCACCTGAGACTCGACTCCCATCGGTTCACTCTCATCACCCACCATATATCAGGGTCAAGATGGGGTATGAGCCCAGATTATTGTGACCCACCCCTGGAACAACGATGACCCTACCCTCCCGTGATTGGTGCGGTACCCCTGAGGCAGACCTTCTTGGTTCCGCGCCAAGAAAATCAGCCCACTGCTATGGCATGATGAGACGTTCGCGCGACTATGAAAGCTGACAACGCACAGGATTGTAAGGGAGTTGCTGGCTAAGATTCGAGGAGGATGAAGAGCTCTGGAGCAGTAGGCAGAGTGGGCAGCTCCTCCTTGTATGATGGTAAGAGGAGCTACACTGGTTTCCTTCCCAGCAGCAGGTCTTTGAAACTCCGTCGAACATTTTCGAAAGCTTCGGAGAACTCGAAAACAGACAAGCACCAAATGGGCTTAAACTCAACCAGTATGGTTGTAGATAAACAAGAACTGGACCAAGTTAAGAAGTTGCTCTTTGACGGCTTACAAATCACTTACGAAACTTACGCAAACTGTGGGATTCATTCAGAAAAATGTGGAAAATGTTTTGATGCATTGATAAATTCGTTTTCGGCATTCAGAAATCTCTGCAATCAATTTGAAGATGATCTAGAGATGGAGCGCAATGTCATTTCATTTGAATCACGTCAATGGTTTGAGTTCATTCTGTATTCGCAGAAGTACTTCAATGAAGCAACGATTGAGGTTTCACGGATGATTCATGCAAGCGAGAAACAAGACTTGATTCAGATCTTAATACATTGGTCATCTTCGCGGTATGATCTTGGAGTCTTAGCACAAGGTGTCAACTCGAAGTTGGGAGAAAGAATCTCCTTGGTTGCTGCGCACTGTTGCGAATTCAGCCATGCATTGATGGAGAGTTCGATCAAGCACGATGCCGCGACATTCTCTATCGCAAAGATCATAAGTGAGCCATATGAAGCCAAAGGCTATCTTTTTCTCAAAACATTCAAGGAATCATTGGCATCCGGTAAGTTGGATCCAAACTCATCATTTGCAACTCTCATCCAAGCAAGGTCTGCCTTCGATAAATATCATCAATCTCTCAAGATACAGAAACATGTTGGAGAGGAGAAGAGATTCACAGATAAAACAGAATGTAGCCCAGAAGACGAGCAGACAGAAGATCTGCAAGCTGCTCTCTGCAAGCTTGAGGAGCTCATCTTGACGCAAAAGTCCCTGGAAGCCAGACTCACCTCGGTGCAGAGAGAAATACATGTTCAGACACGGGCATTGCAACATGAACAGAGGTGTGAAGAAATTCTCAATCATGTTTCAAGTCATCGCCTCGATCTTTGCTTTGAAGAAAACATCCACAGCCAGGACATGGAGTTGAATGTGCGAAGCAATGCGAATCTTGCTACGCAAATAGCGAAATTCGTATCTGATTCGAGCGCATCAGTGCATGGCGAGTTGTATAAGATCATCATAAAGTCCCTGAGGAAGGAGTTTGAATCTGTGACCAGTCTGGTTTCAGACGAGCTTGCTTTGATGCAATCAATCAATGTCAACGCTGATTGCTTTAAACTCGATTCGAAAGTGAAAGAAAGCTTCTCTTCATTCTGTATGGAAGACTGGGTGACATCTGCAAGACAGCAAAACGAATTGTTTGAAATTTGTCAATATCTTTCGATTCTTCTTCAAGATTGCAAGGACCTTAGACCCAATTCTGATGAGCTTGCAAAACTTGTTGAAACGTACCTCCATGACTTGAATGCACAGAGAAATCGCATCAACCAACAGTTCTCGTTAGTTCCGAGCTACAGAAATTCACCAAAGGTTGTCAAAGGCATGCAAAAGAAATGTTGGATTGTAGGTTTACTACAAGACCAGGAGAACAGCGCTACTTTTCACGATTGTATTTCTTATATTCTAGATGTTGACAAGGCAATGCAGAAAGCTGTCCATATAAAGCACAACGGCGATGTTTTGAAGGATTTATTCTATACGCCTACATCGATGCTGGATTCTCAGGCTCCTTCAAACTCACTGTTGACATTGCATGGCCTGGTAAATCATGTGCAATTTGCCTGGAGCTAAACTAACTTGCGTTTCCTGAACAGGCAAGCGCTGCTATGAAATTTCAAAACTTTAGACTCAAGTCCTATAACGCTGCAGAATCTGACTATAGTTGCAAAACTAGCTTTCGCTATTCATCAACAATGTGCAAAGTTCTTGATTCTGTGGTTCAATCAGAATCATGTAATTCAGTCATTCTTGGGGATTGGAGCTCAACTTCTCGATATAACCAGAATTTCTCAAAAGTGTACTTTACTGTTGCCTTATGTACAGCGATTTCTCATTGTAGAATACAATATCCTTGGATGACAAGAATCTGCATATTTAGCCTTTCAAAACAAAACTTCTTGGAACCGGTATGTATTTTGCTTGGTTGCCGCTTTGGAGGGCTGTGACGCCTATTTATTTCAGGGCCTTTCTGACCCCGAGATCATGCAAATCAATGCGTCTTGCGTGTTTGAGGTGGAAACGGATCCCTCAGCAATGGCTGAGAGCAGTTCAAGAGACAAAGAGAACGATTCTGATCCACTTACAATTCCTTTTAGACAAATGCTGACCCAGGTAGAAGAATTCCGACCAGATTTGATATTGGCTGTATACGACTTACAATCCATCGAGTCATTTGATGCAATGGAGATGAGACAAGAATATTCTCGCGAAGATTATCGTCGCTTCTACTTGCATTGTTGCAAACTTCAAGAAACAGCAAGGAGGCTTTGTAATGATAAGATTATCTACATTTCCAGCCCCGTGGCGGCTTCAGAAACGTACGAGCTTGCAAACAGTCTGAAAATGGTAACGAGAGAATCCATCCCACGGTCAGACTCAACCAGTGACATTGAAACCATCAGGTTCGGACTCTCCGATGCATCATGGGCGCGTGTTTAGGATGCGAAGGAGCAGACGAGGATTTGCTCCCATGGCCGGTGATGAGTGACGAAGTAGCTGCGATGGACGTTGATCAGTCTCTTGACTCCTCTGGTGCCTTTTTTGAGTAAATCCTAGCTCCGCTCGGCGTAAGTTGGGGTTACAGACGAAGTGGAGGAGAGTGAAACGAGCGGCTTGCGGGGGCAGCACGACATGGAGGCGTCAGCGAATATTTCCAACGAGCCGTCTATCAGTGTCGCATCTTCAGAATCTGATGAGGTGAAAAGTGCTGAGCAAGAGGAAGACGGTCTTCTCAGTCTCGTTGCCATGCTCAGGTGGACGAGGAGTTGCAGGCAGACGAAGAGGATACAGAACCGCACGAGGGATCCTCGGTTCCTCCTCCTCCTCCTCCTCCTCCTCCTCCTCCCCCTCCCCCTCCCCCTCCCCCTCCTCCTCCTCCTCCTCTTCCTCCTCCTCCTCCTCCTCCTCTATCACTCACCTTGATGCACTGACGCATTGCAGGCGGACAACGAGTACATTCCTTCCTCCTCCAAGAAATCTGAAAGACCAGCGACGAAGAAGAAGGCTGACTCTAGAGCTCCTTCGCGTTTCTGGCGACCCCCTCCCACTGACAACGAGCCTGTCTTCCAAGCTGCTGGAATGCTGCTGGACCTTGCGGACCGCATCCCGTACAACTCAGTGAAGGAGCCGAAGGCTAGCGTGTGGGAGAACTTTCGGGTGACCACGGAAGCATGCAACTCAGCGAGAGCGGTTGGCCCCCATCCTTGCCAGCGTGCGATAGGAGTGATGGCTGGCTGCAGGTAGCAGAGAAGCTGCTGTGGTTCTCGGAGCAGCTTGTTCCAAGGATCATCAAGAAGGGATGGACGGAGGGAGGTGCTGCTGCTGCTTCTGTTGCTTCTGAAGGGATTGCACGTGACCTGGAAGTGTTGCAGGAGAAGAGGCATGTCAGAAGGAGAAGTGGGAGGAATTTTGTAGGAACTGCTCGCAAAGGGAGGAGGTCGGTGGAAGAACCTTGTTGCAAGGCCAGCAGCTGATCTCCGATGACAGATTGTGAATGCGCTGCGACAGTTTGAGAGGCTGGCGATCGACTGGGACGAGGTGAGAGGGAGGAAGGAGTGGAGGGGGGGGGGGAGAGAGCGATGGAGCAGGGAGAGGGACGGAGTAGGGAGGGGACGGAGTAGGGAGGGGACGGAGGAGCTAAGGGGGGCCACAGGTGTCTGCAGCCTTCAGGGAAGAGTGGCAGTCGCAGAGGAGCAAGAAGAGCTCATCCAAGGGGAAGCGCAAGGCGCTGTCGCAGAGGGAGGAGGTAGCGCTAGCAGCAACAACACAGGTCACGTCACCTTCCGTTCCTCCTCGTTGACCGAGAGGCTGCAAGCTCCTGACGCTGGTCAACAGCTTGGTAACTATGTGACCGATGAAGCATCCGAGGTCGACACCGTCAAGGTGGAGAAGAGGGTGAGCATGGCGGGGGTCGCGGTGACAGGGAGCGGGTGATAGCTTGGGGCTCGCAGGTGGCTCCCTTGATCTTTGGGGTCGACGGAGAAGTTCTCGGCCTGGCTGAGCATGAGGGAAAGAGCTGAGAACCGTCTCACTGCTCCTCCTCTCATCTCGCTCCTCCTCCTCCTCCTCCTCCTCCTCTCGCCCATTGGTATGCGAGAGGCTCTTTATTCGATATGTACACGTTCATCATGCCGCCTTCTTGCCGGGTGTCAGTGAGAGGGAGGGAGGGGAGGGAGGAGAGTCAGTTGAGATCAGCAGAGCGTGACAACGTCCACGGGAGAACCAGCGCCTCCTGCCTTGCTCCATCCATCCTGCTCGGCATGACATGGAGCTGGTCAGGCAGAGGGGAGGAGGGGTTTGAAAGGGGAGGAGGGCATGCACGGGAAAATCGACAACGCCTTGACCAGGAAGAGAAGCAGGAAGCGAGGACGAGGTAGGGAGGGAGGGAGGGAGAGGGAACTAGTCGGCTAGAGAGGAGGGGGAGCAAGGGAGCAAGGGAGCTCACCTTCGGCTTCATGATATTCGTGCTCTTCTCTTCCATGGAGACGTTAAGACTCTTGCGAGCTGTCGAGACGTCAGCCGGTGACGAGGAGCAGCGACGAGGAGCAAGTAGCCCACCTTGTGATGCCTGCTGGGAGAGAGCTTCGAGCTCTGCCAGCTCTGCCAGCAGGTTTGCCGTCTTCTCGCTGCCCTTGTCCTGCCCCCGGGCGCTATCCTTGCGAACATTTCGTCGCCGGGAGGGAGAGGGCGAGGGGAGGGACTGCAGCTCCTTCGTCTCCGAGTCGATGGAGTCGTTGAGGACGCTAACCTCGAGGTTCAGCAGGTCGTCCATCATCGCCTGCACCTCCTCTTGGCTCTTCTCCGAGGAGCTGTTGTGCTCGTCGAAGGACAGCAGGTGGGAGGTATTGCCTGTGTAGCCTGTGCCATGGCTGCGTGAGCGAGCGAGCACGGGAGAGGGAGGGGGGAGGGGGGAGGGAGAAGTGTTCCTACCTGAGTCTTCCAAACTCCTGTGGAAGTGCGACTTTGTGACGGATGTCGCGATGCCCTTTACGACTCGTCCCACAGCCTTGCGGAAGATTCGTCCTGAAAGGGAGTGAGGGAGGAGGAGCATGAGGAGGGGAGGGCTTGCCTGACAGGCAGTCGATGCTCTGGTTGTAATACTCGTGCTCGATCCCAATCAGCGAGTGATCGGGGCTAGCAGGCACTCTTACTTCCCCTCCTCCTCTCAGTGCGGCATTCAGCTACCTCGTTGAGTCGTCCAAGTTCGCCTTCTCAAACTTGATCTCGTTGTTGAACCCCCGGGTCTTGAAGCCCAGGTCTGCCTCGATGATGCTGCTGTCCTCCATCGGCGTCGACTGACTGCTGTTGGGGCTCGACGCCTCGTGCTTGCTGTGCTCTGCTCGCCGTCGCAGCGCCGCTCGCTTCTGCCGCTCGAGCTCTTTGAGCTTGTTTTGCAGCATCTCCCTCTTCTTTAGGATCCTCAGCTTCTCCTTCAGGAGCTCCCGCTTCTGGATCAATCGCCTCAGCTCACTGAGCTCGTCTTGATCCAGATCTCTGCTGCTCGCCTCCTCCTCCACTCCCCCTGCTGTGTACTCAGCGTAACCCTGCGTGTTGTTGGCCAATCGGTCGAGCTCCTCTAGCTCTTTTAGGATCGCGTCTGCTGTCTCTCCTTCACCTCCCTCGTCGCCGTCATCCTCCTCGCTGTCGTCGTTTCCTCCAGCTCCCTCCAGCTTCATGATGCTCGCTAGCTCGTCCAGCTCTTTGAGCTGCAGCAACACACTCTCCTCGTCGCTGTCCATGCTACTAGTGGAACCTGCAATGGGCATGAGCTCACTAGACCCGTCAAGTCTTCTGCTCATCTCCTCTACGTCAGTGTCGATGAGCAACCAATGCTCTTGCAATGACGGACGCAGAAAGTTGTAGACTTCAAAACATCCCACTGTCTTTCTGCTCAACTAAAGTCCTTCCCCCTTCCTTGCTGCCTGATCTTGGCCTCATTGCATGTCGCCTGTATTTCACTTCCTTGCCCCACTTCCTCTTCCTCTGATTCCCCTCCCGCCTTCCCAACCATCCTGACTCCCTTCCACCATCGAATATCTCGTGGGCGACAGCAAAACTTGCAGGTTTTGTGTTTCCACCATCCCAGCTACACATCATTGAACTCTAAACGTCTTCCTTGTCCGCGTAGCTATCCGAGACCATCGTTTTCAAACCCTGACTCATCCATCACAAGCACACAATCTGCTCTTCATGGAAGGCCTTGCCTGCACCAGATCGACGCTACGTGATCCAGTTTGTTCCCGACTCTGATCTCAAGGTCATTTTCAATCTTTATCGACCTTGCAGGCATCTACATCTCTCCTAAAACAAGAGCTCCTTACAAACATGCGCTGGAGTGCAGCTACATTTCATTCTTCTCCTTCCTCTTTCTCCTCTCTTGCTCCCCTCCTCCTTCCTTTCTCTCCTCCTTCCTGTACTCTGTCCACCATGTCCCTGTTCAATACTTGTGCACCACCCCACCCTAAATAATTTCTCCTTTCCTGGCAACCCCTGTTATTCGTGGACCCCCTCTATTTCAGTCGGCCCTCCATGTCAAGTACCCCATCATTTCCAAATATTTGTACCAAACAAGACCCACCCCTCTGGTGGATTTCTGTACCCCCACCCTGGATTCAAGTAGGCATTGTCTAGAAATACCGTTGATGATCCAGGGGTCCTAAAGTGCGGCCCTCCGACCCACCCTACCCCTCCTCGAAGATACTCTTAACCCCTTCAAAGACCTCCATCTACCCACCCCTCTCACCGCGCCTCATTTGAACCCGGGGGTGCAGATCACGGGAGTGTCTTCCTGAGTGCCAGACCCACCTTTCCATCCCGTGACCCCACCCCCAATTATCTGCCTAATTTGACGGGTCCCTGATGGGAGAAAGGGTCTGGCTCTAGAGCATATGGACTCTTGCCGCCTCAGAACTTCATCGGCGAGCCAGACTGAGCCTCCGGCTCACCCAGTGATGAAGGCCCGGGCCCGGACCGGGGACCGGGAGGCTCGGAGGCCCGCCGATTCAACTCAGGGAGCGGCCGCTGTGCTGCGGCAGTGCCGGGCGGCCCGCGCGGCCGGGCGGGGCCCAGCGGGCCGTCCGACGCCGACGGTGGCGTGACAGGCTGTGGCATCCGGGACTGACTACTTCAAGGAACTTTCACTATTTTGCCAGGGCCGGGCCCGGGCGGCCTCAGGGCCTGCCAGCGGCCCGTACCGGCCGCAAGTGACCGTGTACTCGCCATGCATCGGCCCATGATCGCGGCCGTGACAGCGGGAACTTTCACTGAGTCAAGCCAAGTTTGGAAAACTCGTATGAAAGTATGAAAGAGTCCCAGCCCGCGCCAAAGGTGAATCGAATCAGTGACTGATCTTCGAAGTTCTGCGCGCCCGGTGATTCACAATCCTCGACACTTACCTGCGTTGGAGGGTTCATAATCAGAGTGTTGATGTTCCTGTTCCAATCCTCCACACCCTGGTTGACACGGGGGGTGCAAACTAAGTGAACTCTACTCTTCGGAAGATATGCTGTGCATAAAATCGATCGCCTGCGAGAAACTGTTCTTCCTGAGATTGACAGCAGTCGACGTGAATGTTATTGTCTGTCTTCGCAACACCCGGTTCCACACGGTGTTCCTGATGCCAAAGTCCCTTACCGTGTCCTGAATAAAAGAGAAGGATTTGTGCAAGTCCTGGTCCACCAACCCGCGTGGGTTGTAGGTGGGAGACATGAGTCGTCTGAGAATAGTGTCCACCACGTCCATGGCAGAGTCGTCGTGGGGCACACAGAAACGGGTCGTCTTATACAGAGGCCCTCCCCTCAGAAAATATCTAGCACAATTGAGACAAATCAAGAAGAAAATTGCAGCACATTTTCAGCACCATTGAAGCACGTGCTTGAATTGTGCTGATAAAACACCGCACGGTGTCCCTTATACATACAACACAGCGGAACTGAAGCTCTTTGACCCGTCAAGAATAGAACCTCGAGGATCACTAAGATTGCCCTCAGGCAGCCGAGGAACGATGCTGCCAAGGAACACTTGAAGAGCGTTACACTCCCGGAAGTCAAGGAATCCATCAAGGCATCCTTCGGTGAGTACATCATGTACGAGAACCGGAGCAACAGCAAGAAGAGGATTTTCATCATCGTGGACAAGATCGAGACATTCGAATACCGTGATAGATCGCACTCCATTGATATCGGGACCGTGCAGGACATCAACAAGGGGATGGACTACATATGCCTCAACTGCTGCTCCATCCCTCCCTCCCCTGGCATCAGTTCTTTTCTCTTTCCCCCACATCTTCTTGCCGTGAGGAAACTTGCCAAGCAGGTAGAGGGCTGCAGATGTCGCGGAAGGGTAAGGGCTCACAAGTTCAGCGCATCGAATACCCAGAGACCTCTGAGCGGGAGAGCTAGCGGGTCTCGTTGCTTTGATTACATTTTCATCCTTGCAAATAATATAGCACGGACGCGGGGAACTATTCACATGCTCCTTTCCCCGCGCCTTATAGTGTGTACATCAGGGTTGCTCTTCGCCCTCTTGCCGCTCCCCTGCCTCCTGCAGCTTCTCAAACTGTTCGATGCGATCATGGACTAGCCCGGGCTGCACCTTCCTGTTTGGCCCCTTGAGGGGCCTGGAGGGCCGGGCAGAACGTGGTTTATCCTTGGAGTCGGGCGTGACCTCGTCATTCTCCGCGCTGCCCATTGCCAGCTCTGCAGTCTCTTCCATTGACTGCTCGCCCCGATCCTCTTCAAGCTTCATCCCAGCCATTGGTGTCCCTAAAGTCTCCCCTTCCTCCTCCTCGTCCGGCATGGGGGAGGTAGAGAAGCGGCTTCCAGGACGACTGGCGGTGGAACCAACTCCAGGGGACTCGCGCGATCTCTCCGCATCTGTCGAGTCCACCGAGGTCCTCCCAGCTGCTGGCGGCTCGTAGAATCGGTGAGGATGGTAGTCGTACGAGACGGGAGAAATCGCGCTCAAGGGAGAGGGAGTGATTTCTCCCGCAGCTCCTGCTTGAAAGAGGTCACACATCGTCACACACATGCTTTAAAGATGGAACCTGGACTGAACTTGGCAGCCCGAGTCCCCGGCGAGTCCGAAGCCTCGAACGAAGTCTCCCAAGAAGCCGGAAGCCATGGGTCCACCACCGGCGGAAGTTCTTGGGAGGGATCACGCTCGAGAGCAAGGGGCTCCAGATGTTGTGCGGCCCTGCAAGAAGCGTCAGCTCATGTAAAACAGCGGAGAAGTTGATCTGACTTGGATCGTGGCAGCTCGTTGCTTTCCCTGTTGTTCTCTTCTACGCCCGCGCCCTCGTCTCTGTTGATGGGGGTGTCAAAATGTTTTCGTCTCTTTGATCGGGGTGTCGTCGTTACTGAGACTCTCACCGTTCGAGTTTGTCACGTTTTAAGTCGAGCGAATTTGAACCTGATAAATTCCAACCAAACAATCAACTTCTTAACAACATTGTCTGATTGAACAGAAAGGTGTAGGGAGGATCCGACCTGTCCGCATTCCGCTGAGAATCTCCTTTATCTTCGCTTTCTTCTCCTACAAAGAAGTTTCACAACTTCCGCGTTTCAGTCGGATAGATTGCCCTCACTACCTTGCCAGTCATCTCTCCTCGCGGTTTGCTTCGACGCTCCTTGCCCAACTTCTTGCGACTTTTCTTCTCCACCTCCTTGGTTTGCGGTTGATTCAATGCATCATTGTGCCTTCTGCCCGAGGAATCAACAAATATCGACGGGAACCTTTGATCGGCATGTTCCTATCAGCATCCATCTCCACCATTCTCACCACTCTCACCGGGTCGGCTCAAACTCAAAGCGGCTGTCCCAATCGGTAGACCTACTGACACCGCTGGAGCCGCTGATGCTCTGCCTCCTTTCCGCGAGATAATCCAGCGGCGAGCGCTTCTTGCTCGAGTTCCACCCTATCTCAATCGAGCTGATGCTTGCGTCACCAAGACTGTGCCTCTCAGCCAGCATCTGATCCTTCATCAGTTTCCTTCTGGATCTGCAGGACGTGGAATTACCTTCAACTTCTGATCTTTCAGCCTCCTGTAGAGCGATCGATGATATTCGTCCATGGGATGTTCCCATTGAGTGTGATCCGTTCTGGAGCGAGAGTGACGTGAGCAACTCAATCATGGCATGATATTCTTCACCTTCTGTTGTAGAAATATACTCGGCCGTCTCTTGCCTCATGCTCGCTCCAATTTTTTGGCAACGGGGCAATCATCGCCTCTACTGCAATCCAAAGGAACTCCTCGTCCTCTTCGGGGTCCATGCCCAGGTAAACTGCAAACGCTGTGACCTCTTTGATGAGAGCGTCCGCTTGCTCATCGGTCAGCGTCGAAACTCTTCTTTGCTTGGCTCCAGCTTTCCTCCGTGAGGCATCCGCAATGGAGCGTTCAGTCTCGTCTGATGCATCAGACTCGGTGGAGTCAGAGGACGTTTCTGATTCATCTTGTCTTGTTCTCCCAACAAGGCGTAGAAGTTTCGCAGCCCATCCGGCATTTTGGTCCTGCGATTTGCGAACAGGTTGATTCTTGGCGGCAGTGTTCTGCTTCTTAGCCGTAAGGCGAGGGAGACGATCCGTGAATGCCGGGTAGAGCTTGAAATGTTTCATGATGTATCAAAAACAAATTCTGCTGCGTTTAATGCTGGAATTCATCGTCCATGATTGACAAATAATGAACTCAGCCATGCACTGTTTTGAGATTCAAATCCATTGGATCTTGCTGTATGTCTTCGCCTGCGAAACAAAGCATATCAGATGGATCAGTATGCGAACAAGGAAGGCTCAAGACAGGGCATAACCAACATTTACTCAGTACTTCGTCGACAGTGATTAGCGGTAATGGGCAAAGACAAATAAAGAAAGTCGTTTCAGGCAAGGAAAGGGTAGGATTGAAGAACAGGGTGAGGAGGTAGCAGCAGGGAAGGGAAGGAGACAATATAGGAGAGGGAAGAAAGAGAGAGAGAGAGTGGATCACAGGAGAGGATTGAAGAGAAACAGAGGTAGTAGGAGGGTAGCATGGATAGTAAGGGGCAGGGGCGAGGACATAGCGAAGTTATGTTTGGAGGGAAGGAGGAGGGGTCTGGGGTCGTCACTGAGAGGTTGGGTCAACAGAGGGGGTGGTCAAAGGAATTAGGTATTTAGCAGGGGTATTTATTAGGGAAAACGTGGGGTACTGGCTATAATGGAGAGGCCCAGATTGAAAAGCAAACCCGCCTCAGAGACCGCTTTTAACTCATCAGAGGGAGGGGGGTAGGGTGGAGTACCCTACTTTGCTTTGGCGGGAAAGAAAGTTTGTGGCATGGAGGGAAAGGTGCGGATGGAATTCACGCAGATGTTGGAGACGTACATTTAGAGGGGAAGAAAGAAAGCAGGTTGAGAAAGAAATAGGACAGATTTGAAGCTTTTCGAGTTTGAATTGTCATCATGATTTGATTTTTATGGATTTATGCAGAGGCAAAGGATAAACATCCTTACTGCTATATCGAAAGATCAAGGAGCGCGATCGTGGCTGATTTCAAAATCGTGTATAATTCGAGATGAATTCTGGAATTGTTCACATGCAGGAGGACGAATCAGGGATCCAACAGATGATAAACTCAAGATTTCATCGGCCCAAGCGGTTTCTGGTATGCCTGGCATTGGCTGCAGTTGATGTCGACGAAGAACGCGACCGAAAAAAAGCGAAGACTGATGATGAACTAGAATCCCTTCTTAAATCTCCAGAAATCAAATTGCAAGACAAGCTTTGTATGGCCAAGATTTTGTTGGCACAGTTACAATCAGCGCGCCTAGGATCCGATACACACAAGTTGGTCGACAATCGGTTTCGAGAACTTTTGCATGATTGCATTCCACCGCTTACTCGACGTGAGAAAAACACCATGCACGATGATATGATTTTGTTCATGGAGATCGTGATGGACCTGATACACATCGAAGAGAACAAAACTGAATTCTCGGAGGATTCATCAGTTAGCATCATCAAATGGAACGAGCTTGCAGAAAAGTTCGTTAACTCTGTGATTTCTGCATACTTGGGCCAATTGCACGCAAATCAGTTCTTCAGAAAACCGGATTTTCAAGAAAGTACAAATGATCATGAAGATGAGTGCATCACGGATTACTTTGAGATTCAAGGCTCTCGGCAGGTCTATCACTTCAAATCCATCAGATATCGACAACTAACAAAAATGTTCTGTTTTTTCCCCCAGAAAGTCTTAGTTTCTTTCGCTGATGCACATCCCTGGCTGGCTTGTTGTACCATAGTTGAGGTAGTAATGTCAACAGCGGAGGTGATGTCTGGATGATCCCGTTTACAAGTTCTAAAGCTGACGTTTCAAACGGCAAATAGGCGCTCAATGAAATGTCCTGGCATGATGCTTCAGCCGAAGAAATAGTTACCAACTCGAGCCTTGCCCTCGATATTATCCAGATCCTTGCATCGCAGTTGTCAGGGAAAATTTTCAGTTTCAGACATACGGCTCATATGATCTGGACAGACCTGATGTCAAAGCTTGAGCGATCCATTGGAATACTTTTGAAAGTAGCATACGGTCGAAAATGTGGTATCGAGAATCCTTTACTGTTCTTTCAGATCATTGAGGTGATTTTGATGCATTATCTCGTTCGATTCGACAAGTTAACCCCGTGTGTCAACAACAGACTATGTCGCATTGTTCACAGATTGAGGGAATAGAAGCAAGCAAGCTTTTGTCATAAAGATTCTCCTCAGCCCGATGACACGTCAACCTCATCCGAACACCCATCCCCTTCGCCTTCAGCTCACTTCCTCTCTTTGTATTTAACTCAGCTCCCGAGCCTTTCCCGGACCCACCCCTGCTCCTCCCTCTACCCACCCCTGTTACTCCGTCTAGTTGGACCACCATGTGGTATCCTGTGCTGATCTTCATCCTGCCATGAGCCTAGAACCCCCCTTTTTCTAATGTATCTCAGGGGGTAGGGTGAGTGGTCAGCACTGTCCCGCTTGTCGGGCCTTAAAACGTTTTTGGATCAAACGAGACTAAAATTTTCTAAATATTTATAATTAGTATCAGAATAATTACACAAGAAGACTGTCAGTACAAAGTATCAGATAATATTTTTTTAATTGATAAATTCATAGAAACTAGCATCCAAGATACTACCAAGAATGTAGAATCAAACTTAATATATATATAAAACAATTCCAATCCGCTTTAAAAATGATTGCTATCGAATTGTACAATCATGTACCCTACCCCCCAATTCCAATGACTTGACGGGGTCATGGTAGCACGGGTGGCCTCAAAGACGTCCGCGCTGCTATGGTTGGGAACCTGCTCGGGAGGGGGCCATGCACGAGCGCCGGGCAGCGGGGAGATGATGAGATGATGGGAGGAGGAGGGAGGGAGAAGAAGAGTCTGTGCGAACTTGCTGCGGTGTATGCCTCATTTTCAGCTGTGTGGTCGCTCATGAGATGGCTCCACTCTTTTGCACCCCTGCATTTCCCTTTCCTTTGGTTCGATGATAACTGGTGTCAAATGCGAGCGATGCGGATGAAATTTCTCTTCGTGCAAAATTTAGTAGTCGTTTGAAGTTGCCTCGAGCATACAAACAACTTTTCCTGTCCTTGCAATGTTCAAGTTTGCTCTGATTCTTTAGCTTTGACTCATCCCTAGCACACGATGTACATACTTGCAGCACTGATATATGCATATGCAGGAGGAAGCGTGAACGCCATGATGTTTCTTGACCACTCAAGCAAAGAGGGAAGATGATAAACAGTATCTTTGCTCCGTATGAGGGAACGAACGCAAATGCGAAGAGATTAGCAGGCAATCCCACTTCCAGATGTGACTGTGCCATAGACTAGCAGGTTGTGCCTCCTGGTGACTGTATGAGTCGTTTGAGTCCTTATAGCATTTGATCTAGAGGCGGACAACATGTCCAATGACAGGCCAGGCTCGGGCTTTCTGCCTACTTTCAACTTGAACCCGATGCTTGCCCTTCCTACCAACGCGATCCCCACAAAGCGAGGCGGTGCTGTAGGAGGCCATGACGGGAACGACATTGGATCCATGTTGCCGGCTGCAAGCATCTCACACTCGATGATGAGCTTGCAGCACGGGAACCTGGCGAATGCAGGGCTGCACAGCAACATGGCGTCGCTCGGCCTCCAGCAGGCTGCCCTGCAGAACGCCAGCCTGTCGATGATGGGGAACGCGAACGGCATGTTTGGTGGAGGAGACTTGCTGAGCAAGCTGCAGTCGACTATGGGCTTCCCAACTGCGGCGAGAGACGCCATGCTCACGAACGCTGGAGTCGTGAGCTGGGGCATGCCGGGGTTTTCTCTTCAGGGTCAAGACCTGCGGGGCGGGGGAGGTATGAGCTTGGCAGGGGCAGCAGGGCTGGCAAGTGCAGCCAATGAGCAGATGCTGCAGCGACTGAACCTTCAGAGCATCATGCTACAGAACTTGGGACACATGGATCGGGCAGGCGTGCCCTTGCAGCCCGAACTGGGGACGGGGAGACTGCATGCTCAAGAGATGCTGCAGTCTAACGGGTCCTCTTACCAGGATGAGATCTTGGAGATGTCACAGCCGAGAGAGGAAGAAGAACTTGTGGCAAGGGCTCAGATGGGAGTGGTGGACCAAGATCACGCAGAGGCCGAAGAAGCGAGCTATGAAGCCGAGGTTGGGTCTCTGATCCCGATCCGTCTCCTCTGACCCTGCCTTGCAGGCGGAATTCCAGCAATCGTCCCCATCATCCAAGAAGAGAAAGAAATCAGAAAAGAGCCAGAAGGTGAAAGAAGAGGAAGACTTGGATATGCCAGACGCAGAGGTGCAGGAGGAGGAGGAGGCGCACGAGCATGCCGGGAAGTCCTCCTCGCACAAGTCTGCGAAAGAGTCCAAGAAGTCAGGATGCGCTGGGAGTGGTGGTGGGATCGTGCTGGGAAGGGGTCCACGAAATGACTTCCACTCGGCTCTGGAGACTCTGATTGGATCAAGGATTTACGTGCACGGGACAGGAGGGGCGAAAGGGGTGAGGAAGGACGGGATCCTCTGTAAGGTAGGAGACGCGGTGCGGGTGGAGAGCGAGGGGACCGTGATGGGGCTGAATGACTTCTGCGCCTCGGCACAGAACTCGAAGAAGCGACCGAGGGACTGTGTCCGCCTCGCTGACTCTGGGATGAGCCTGAAGCAGGCGACTGAGTCGATGATTGGAGTGCTGCCGCCGGCGGCACCCAAGAAGGCTGAGGGTCAGCGAGGGAACGGGAAGTCAGGAGACGCTGCGAACTTGGCCGAGGACCGGGAGGACGAGTCGTCCGATGACAACAGCAGCGTCAAGAGCGACGACGAGAAGGAGCCGAGTCATCCCGAGGTGGAGGAGAAAGCAGCAGCGGTCGTGAAGAAGAAAGAGAGCAAGCTAGTCATCAGCAAGTGCCCCGAGCTGCTGGCCAGCTCGCACCTGTATAAGTCGGAGGAGGAGGTCGGGCACGAGTATGACCGGGCTAAGGTCGACTTCACTCTAGTCCTCCCCTGCGCCAGCAACAAGGGCAACCAGTCGGCGGCGCAGGAGAAGCATGTGCTCGACATGAAGCTGTGCCTGAACATGCTGAAGATGATCATGAACCACAAGTTTGGCCCGCTGTTCTGCGAGCCCTTCCGCACTGCTCAGGAGTCTGACGTCAAGAAGAGAGTCTCGCAGCCCATCGACCTCATCAGGATCAAGGAGAACCTCGAGGAAGGGAGGTACCAAGACCCCTCCGAGTTCAGCGCACACGTCCGGCTCATCTTTCATAATGCAAAACTCCTCTACCCTCAGGGATCTGCCATGCTAGGTTCCTCCTCCTCCTCCTCCTCCTCCTCCTCCTCCTCCTCCTCCGTTTCTTATCCTTCTTCTCCTGTTTCTTGTCCTGCTTCTCCCCTTCTTTCTGCTTTCTTTCCTTTTACCCCTCCTTTTTCCTCATCTTCCGTTACCACCAATTTGACTTCTATGTCTTGTCCCTGACCGCTTCTGCAGACTGTGCAGATTCTGTTTCCCAGCTCTTCGAGTCGAAGTTCGATTCGATCGAGTCGCATGCTGTCAAGGAGAACGCTGAGACCTTTAAGAAGTTGCCTGCCGAGCTCAAGGATGTGCCGCAGAGATTTCTAGACTGGTCGACTCCCTCCCTCCCTCCCTCCCTCCCTCCCTCGTTCTCTGCCTGCCTGCCTGCCTGCCTCTCTGCACTCAGTCTCCCTGCCTGCATCCCTTCTGACGTCTCCCCCTTCCCCTGTGTCCCTTCTTCTCTTCTTTCTATGATCGCTTCCTTCTCATGCTCTCTTGCAGCTGGTTCATCATGGACAGCAACGGCGAGTTCCTTGCGCCATGGCACGCCGGCGACGCGTCACAGCCCGGCGGAGTCTTCGGCCTCCTGCTGGCGGCAGGGCCAGGGAAGGGAGAGGGAGGGGAAGGCGACTCGGACTCGCTGGAGATTCGGCTGGAGGCCCCGGACGAGTGGCACGTGCAGTGCTTGGACATGACGGGCTGCAAACTCCCTCAGTTCTGGATCCGCGGAGACTCTCATGCCGGGCCCGTGTGGTACCAGCTGGGAAGCCCGCTGGAGATGTACAGGTGGGAGACGGGGAGGGAGAGGAGAAGAGATGGAGGGATGGGGGGTCAGGAGGGGAGGGGAAGAGGAGAGGGAGGGAGAGGCAAGGGAAGGAAGTGAATGGAATGGGCAGGCCTTTTCTGAGGAGGGAATGCACTTGGTTGATGGCGAGCTACCGGATCTGCTCGTTCCTGCAATCGTGCCCGAAGGCCTCGTACGAGGAGGTGAATCCTTTTCCTCCACCCCCCTGCTGCCTGGCCTCTCCGGCGCTCCTCTCCCTCTTTCCGCCCCCTTTCCTTGTCTTCTCCTTTTTGTCCTACTGCTGCCCCTTCTCTCTCCCCCTCTCCCCCTTTCTCCCTCCTCCTCGTTTTCCTTTCCTACCTCATGATTTCTCCTCCACAACCCCCGTCTTGCTCGCTCTCACATCCCATTCTCCCGGTTCTGTCCTGTCCTCAAGTGTCAACAGGTGTGCGAGGTGCTAGCAGGGAAGAACTGGAAGTCAGGAGGGAAGAAGTTGAGGCCTCTTGTCATGGTTTCCTCCTCCTCCGTTTCCTTCCTCTCCCTCAAAACTTCTGCAGGACCTTGTCTTGGATAGAGCAGACAAGATTGTTGAGGTAGGCCTCCTCCTTCCACTAACATCATCCACCACCACCACCAGCCTCCTCCTCCTCCTCCCCCTTCCCCCTCCTCACACTAGCACTCTTCTGCTCCTGCTCTGCTGCCTTGGTCCTCATCCTCTTGCATTCCTTACTCACCTGTTCTCCTTCGCCTCTTCCTGTCAACCCTCTCGCATCTCGCTCCCCTCACTCTCATTTGCAGGAAGTAGCGTTGCTCAACCCCAAGCTCACATCGCACAGATTCCTACTGACTCTGCTAGCACGGCAAAGCAAGGTAACTAAGTTCCTGATGCAGTCCTTTCTTCTCCTTATCATTCTCCTCCTCACCTCTCCTCCTCCCCCCTTCCCTTTCTCCTTCTTGTCTCAGTCCTCGTCTTGACCCTCCTTCCCCCTCCTCCTGCTCCTTCCTCCTCCTCTTGCTCCTCCGTCCTCCTCCTCCTTCCTCCTCTTCGCACTTCTTCCTCAAACTTCAAGTGAGTACTGAAGGACCTCCAGTATCTCCGTCGCAAGTTCATTCGCACCAGCACCTGGGGAGGGCAGGAGAGAGGGGCCGAGCATGGTGAGACGTCTAGTCTTGTCGCTACTCGTCTCATCCTCTCCTATCAGACTCTCAGGAGCACTGACTGACATTGGCCTTGTACCTTTACATTTGCATATATCCTCTTCCCCTCCCTCCTCCCTCTCGTCCTCGTCCTCGCTCCTCTCTGCTTCGAATCTTGTCCCATCCGCCTTTGTCTTCCTTCCCTCACTTAGTTTCTTGATTGAGCTTCTTTTTCTTCTTCTGCTCATTTTGATCTCATTTAACATGTCGATAGCAAATCTTTGACTTTGTTACATTCGCCTCAACCCCAAAACATACTATACACTCCTCCTCCTCCCTCCACCGCCACTACTACTACCGCTAACCAGCAGCTCTTACCACCACCACCACCTCCTCCTCCTCCTCCTCCTCCTCCTCCTTTCTTCCGTCTTCCCTTCACACATGAAAGACTGGCTGCACTCTCTTGACCGGCTGCTGACAAATGTCGCACTTCTTGACTCCCTTAGCACATTTGCGGCACCTGCAGCCCGTAAGACTTGAGGGGAGGAGGACGAGGAGAAGTAGTCTAGAAGAGAATGGGTAGAGGCAGGGGCAGGGGCAGGGGCAGGGGCAGGGGCAGGGGCAGAGGCAACTTACAAAAGCAGGGGCAGGGGCAAGGGCAAGGGCAGGGGCAACTTACAAGATTCGATGACCGCAAGGGACGAGGACGGTTTCGATGGCTCTACGGGCACATTTCTACAAAACGATCAATGGAGGAGGAGCGTGAGGAGGAGGGGCAAGAATAGGGGAAGGGACGGTCGTGAGAGGAGGGAAAGGAGAGGGAAGGAGAGGAGAGTGAGAAAGATCAGAGAAGAGGGAACGAGATGAAGGACGAGGACGAGGACGAGGACGAGGACGAGGACGAGTAGGAGGAGGAGGAGGAGGAGGAGGAGGAGGACCTTGCAGCAGAAGTAGTCAAGCTTCACATCCACCTTCTCTTCACTTGGATCCTCTGGATCCTGAAAGTTCCGTCAGCCTCCCCATCCAGCCTGCAGCACTCCTTACCACAGTAGCTCCCCTCCTTCCACCAGCCTCCTCGTCCTCCTTCCCCTCCCTATCTGTCTCCTCCCTCTCCTCCTCTTCCTTTCCCTCTTCCTTCTCCTGCTGTTTCTCCAAGAGCTCTTGCTCTTTCTTGCCCTCCACGTCTTCCGACCCGCCTGCCTTTTCCCCGCCCTTAGCTGCTGCCTCTCGTTCCACCTCCTGCGGTCGCTCCCTCTCGCTCTCGGTCGAGTCTTGATCCTCCGCACCCGCGGACAGCTGCGAGGAGATGAGAGAAGCAGGAGAAGGAGCAGGAGCAGGAGAAGGAGCAGGAGCAGGAGCAGGAGCAGGAGCAGGAGCAGGAGCAGCAGGAGTCGACGTGCCCACCTTTCCCTTCCTCAGAACGCTCATGCGCAGAGCCTCCTAAGATCCAGAGTGAGGAGGGGGGATGAGGCGAACAGAGAAGATGAGAGAAAGAATGAGGAGCAGAAGGAGCACGAGCAGGAAGCAGGAAGCAAGAGGACCTTGACGGAGGGGGGAATGTAGCCCTTCATGTTCTCAAGGTCATCAGCTTCTCCGTAACTGAGACAAACTCAACAAGAACGCGAGGAAGCAGAGGAGAAATCAAGAAGAAAGAAGAGAGAGAAGAAACAAACACGACAAGCACAAACTCTTTAGAACAGAGGAGACAAGAGAAAAGAAAAGAAGTCGAACACAAAATACAGAAGTAAACAGCAGTACACGCAATCCAGCAAGACAGACAGGAAGGAAACAAGACAAGAACTCACTCTGACGACGCGTCGCTCTCCTCCTCCTCCTCCCCCATCAGCCGCTCGTCTCGCTGCAGCAAGTTAGCTCGAGCTCGATCGTGTCCTCTCCAACCTCCTGGTCGCTGAAGCGAGATAGGGGCAAGCAGCACAAGAGGGCGAGGAGGAAGCCCCAGGAGCTGCTCCTGTCCATCAGCTCCAAGGTGACAGCACAAGCAACCTCGTACCCTTGCGGTGCGTGGTTTGTAGCGAAGAAGCGGAGGTTGAGACTGGAAGGTGTGTCAGTGGGGATTTGATGGAGGAGACGCAAGGAGCAAAGAAGAAGAGAGGAGGGAAGGGAGGGGGGAGGAGAAGAGGGAAGTTGAGAGAATGGGAGAAGAGGGGGAAGAGAGAAAAGGAGAAGCAGAGGAGAGGAGGAGAGGAGGAGAAGAGGAGGAGGGAGAGGGAAGGGGGGGGGGGGGGGAAGAGAAAGAGAGGGAGCGAGCGAGCGAGAGAGAGAGAGAGAGAGAGAGAGGGCACAGAAAAGGACAGGACAGGACAGGAGAGCTCATTGCGCACCTGCACACGCAACAACACAAGAAGCAGAGCGAAAAGATCCCAAGGCAGATGATGGTCACAACCCCCGCCTGTGAAAAACATCATCATCATCATCATCATCATCATCATCTCCGTTTCCATCATCTCCACCACCTTCAACACCTATACCTGCTCCAAAATCACGACTCTCACCTGCTCAAAAGCACATCGTTGCACTCCTCCTGGACAATCATCGTCGTCGTTGCAACTTCCATAAGGATCACAAGATAGAACGAATGAGCAGCAGCAGCAGCAGCTCCTACTTGAGACACAGGTGATTCTGTTCCGACCAGTCGTACAGCAGGCAGAATCCAGGTTGGCAGCTCGTCACACTGCAGACCTGACCACCACCCGTAAGCCGTCAGACTCGCTCAGCATCCTTCCTTCCTCCTCCCTCTCATCCTCCTCTCATCTCAGAACAAACTGCTCCTGCTCCTGCTCCTGCTCCTGCTCCTGCTCCTGCTCTTACCTGACCGCAGCTTCCTGTATTGTCCCCTGTTCAATCGGAAGTCAGAAATACTTCTCCTTCTCCTCCTCTCCCTCCTTCCTCCTTCCTCCTCTTCCCTCACCATCTTCACATCCAGCGTTGGGGTTGCCGAAGTAAATGCTCTCTCCTCCCATCGAAACGCTAGTCGCAACACCAGCAACGCTCTCACTCTCACTGCATCATCAACATCATCACACTTCCCTCCTTGTCCTCGTCCCCCCCCCCCCCACTCCCTTCCTCTCCAGCCACACCTTGCTGATCGAACGTTGGCAACGATCTTGCAGACCGTCGTCTGCTGCTTCAGGGCTGTTGTGCTGAGTGACAGGTGAGGAGAGACGAGGAACGAGGAGGAGAGGGAGGCGGATCCACCTGCAGTCGATGAGGAGAGAAGCTCTGTTCACGTCATCCCCAGCTACCACCCGAACTGTGTACGCCTGCTCCTGCTGCGTGACGAACGTCCCAGCTGGCCGGGCTCGTCACACGCAGCCACGTCATCACTTTCTTAGCTCACCGAGCTGGCTGGAGCAGCAGTCCATGTCGTGCTTGCAGCAGATCTCATGGGAGTCGAAGACCTGAGGGAAGTCAGACACGGCGAGACCGAGGGGATCAGGAGTGCTAGTGTCGATCCACACGCTCAGGAGAAACAGCCGCAGATATGAGGAGACTGACGGATGAGGGGCAGGAGCGGGAGCGGGAGCGGGAGCGGGAGCAGGAGCAGGAGGAGCAGGAGCAGGAGCAGGAGCAGGAGCAGGAGCAGGAGCAGGAGCAGGAGCAGGAGCAGGAGTAGGAGCAGGAGCAGGAGCAGGAGCAGGAGCAGGAGCAGGAGCGGGAGCGGGAGCAGGAGCAGGGATAGGGGTAAGTGCAGGAAGCAGGAGGCGGGAAAAGGATGATTCTCACGGTCTTGGAGAACTCCTTCGCTCGCTCGCCGTCTGGCGTTGCGAAGATTTTGATCCCTGCGGGTAACGATGAGGAGGAATGGAATCAACGAGGCGGACGCTGCAGACCCGACTCTGTCTGATCAGGAATCCCGACTGGAGAAGCAAACATGTCAAAACTCAACCCCAACCGCCTGCACCTCAACAAGTCACCGATAAGGAAAGACGATCCCAATGAAAGAGAGGCTCCAAAGCGTCTCCCCTGCCATTGGCATCAGCACCTCGACGTCAAGAGCTTCATGCTGCTCTGCCAAGGGAAATAGGCAGCCTTCCTGCTGCTCACCGAATACTTCTTGTCGTCAAACAAGACGTTGATCAGGTTCCACTTAATGTCCAGCCCTTCCTTGGCGCTGCGAATGATAGATCAGAGGAGGAGGACGAGGACGAGGAGGGGGAGGAGGAGATGGTGGTGGTCGTGAACGAGTACGAGGAGAACAGAAACATAGTGGGAAAGGAGTAGCAAAAACGGGCGAGGACAAGGAAAACAAGTGTGAGGAATCAGGAGGCAGGACAAGAGATCGCAAGGACCATTCTGAGGAGTCCACAAGAGCATCTCAGACGACCGACCTTGTCTCTTGCTTGTACACCAACACCGACTGATTCCCTGGATGCCCTATCGCAAGGAACTGACCATGGAGAGCGAGGGAGGAGCCAAACCCAGTGGACCAGCAGCTTTCAGCTGTGACGCGTCAGCAGCCGACACTCTCGTCCTCTCCCTCGCTACCATCTTGCGATCGTAGGCAGCTTTCCTCTTGCTCTAGACATTCCTGGGTCTCACACGTGATGATTTCAGCCTGTAGGACGCCTCCGTTAGCCCTCCGTACTCCAACGAGACTCCTTCACCTCGATCCACTCGGTCGGTGAAATGCTCAAGTAGATCAGCACAGCCTGCCAGACAAGTCACTCTCCTCATACTCCTGCTCCTCTTCCTCTCCATTATTCATGTACAATCATCCATCATCATCTCCACCAGGTTCCATACCGGCACAGGTTTGAGGGAGGAGTCCAGGAGCGTGGCGGACACTGCGACCTCTCCCTCTCCCATCGCGACCTGAAGAGCATGAGGGAGCATGAGTAGAAGGTACAGGAGAGGACCTGCTTCCCGAAGGAGGAGGAGAGGAGAGTACGGTCTCCCGTAAGCCATGACGGCTTGCTGCAGTCAAGGGTCAGCCAGGCGGCAGCTGGTCAAGGGGAAGCTCACTGTCTGAAGGGATCTGCGGAGAGGGATCGAGGGAGGGACTGGAGATGCTTCCAGGAAAGATCGTCTTGAAGAACTACGAGCTCCACACATCCCCCTGTGTTGTGATCACCTGAATGGAGCAAAAGGGGTGGCAGAGAGGGGGAGCAGGACAGCGTTCTCAGGGCTACCTCCAGCGAAAGCCACTATGGACTCGTACGTGGATATCTTTGCTTCTGATTGGCAGATGTCAGAAGGACAAGAAGAAGGCAGAACAGGCACAAGACCTTTGAGGTGAAACCCGACCTTGCTCCTGGGACAGCTTTGGTTGTTCACAAATCAGAATGGAGTAGTCAACATTGTATGACATCAAGGCACCTAGGAGCGATGTGGACTTTGCCGTCACCCTCAAGTTTTCTGAGCACTGTGGGTGAAAAGTTGATTGACGTGGTTGAATTTCCATCAAACTGCATTCGAAAAGATGTTCATCCCGTACCAACACACCTTGCTCAACCCCGTCTTACCTGAACCACGGGCGCCTGACAATTTTTTGTCCCCACACACCTTGCGATTGCAATGCCTCCAGTACCACTCATGGCGTGAACTCTGTCTGTTGAAGACATGGAGGCGCCCAGCCCGCGAACTCCAAACTGTCGCAGGTTTGTCACGAGCAAGGTTTGTGTTGGTTTCATCAGCTCACATCAGGCAAGCAGCTGCTGAAAACGATATCTGACACTTTCCCATGGAGATGAACTGCATGATCGCTCTTCGCTCGTCCTTGAAGGCTTCCCATAGCCAATCCGACAGATGCCAACAGGCACAGTCGTTGCACCACCATTGGTACCTGCAAAGACAGAGGGCTCAAACATGTATGACACGCTCAGCAACATGAACGAAGCTGGATATCCATCATCTCCATCACCACACGGTCCTTCTCATCGCACTCTAGTTGCTCCCTTCCCCCATCTCCTCCCTGCTCTCCACTCCTCTCCCTGCTGTGTCTACGACAAAAAGCATTTCACAGTGAATGGCGATAAACTACCCCACAGAATCATTCCAAAGGGTGGGTAGTCTACACCACCCCTGCTATTTCCGCACAGTCCAAGGGAGGGTCCAGTAACAAATTCACTTTGAATCACCGGTACTTTGTAGGATAAATAGGGGGTGATATACCCCACCCCCTGACCCCCTAACTTGTAGCTTGTTCAAGCTGGGGCCAGAGCAAAGATGCAGGAGCGATATGCCGAATGACGGTGAGCGGGGGCAATGAGAATGCGAAGAAGATGAAGCATTGAAGAGAGAACATCTAGATCATGTGAAATATGCAGACCATGTGAATGCAGTTGTATGATTGCCAATATTCCACATGAAGAGGATGTCAAAAGGGGAAGAGGAGTAGACAATATGTATGCATATCTGTGTTTTAGATGATAAGGGTCTTAGGAAATGACCATTACAAGAGAGGCAAAAGTGGATTGTCAAACAGACTACCCAAAGGTCTGCGAGAGCTCCAAAGGTATTCAGTGAATGAGAAGAAGTTATCATCGAGAGAATACAATGTCAAGGGACCAGAAATGTGCTAGAGCATAAAAACAGATTGTTTGCGTAAATTTTGAGAACTCCAGAGTCAGATTGTTTGTCTGAAATTTGAAAACTTGTGAGACTGTGCCTTTATCATCTGCACAGCAAGAGAGCCATTGGTCGAGATAAATATCTGTGCTGGAACATCATGCTCCAGAAAGCTGATGAGTCGCATGCCCGGCCTCGGAACGTGGCGAAGAGTGGGTCGTAGGACATACCCCCGAAAATAAGAGAGGAGGGAGCAGAGGGAAGCGAGGAGTGCGATGATTCAACACAGAAGCACAGTTGAGGGAGATGGTTGAACTTTGGAGATGAGGAAACAAATCTCAAAGTCAAGTATTGTATCAAGGTCTACCCAATCAATAAACAAGCAAAGTGAACTACGCGACGACCGAACCAACGGGTTAGAAGCTTGAATGCTGTATTGAACTACTAAACCGAGATATCCAAAGTGGACGAGAACAGAGCAATAATCATATGGCATACTCTTGCAGTAATTCAGTATCAGGTAGCCTCTGCAGAGGATACAATCCACAAAATAGTGATGAGACGTGTAATGTGAACACAAAAGCGCTGCCACAGGCAATCTATGCATATGATGTGCACTGACTTAGTTGACAATATCCAAGAATGAGGTGGGTTCACATTCAGCATAACATATTGATCAGAGGTTCTTCGGTTTACTCTCCTCTACAGTCTACCGCAACAATAATTTACGAGCGGTTGTAGAAGTAGTCCCAGTGGTTGCGAGCGCGAACCCAGTCATCGTAGGCAGCGGCATCGTTGGCCTTGTAGTAGGTGTCAGCAGAGGCGTTGTAGAGCTGACGGGCCTGGGCGTTCTGGCCAGCGGCCTTGGCGTAGAGAGCAGCAGCAGTCTGACCGTAGAGAACAGAGAACATTCTGAAAAGAAGAGCGTCAATAATTTGCTTGCAGAACTTGGTTAACAACACATTAATTCATCTAGCCACAATCATGGAACAAGTTCCTTCAATCACAGTGTATTTCCCATATTCATGTGCAAAATATTCAGATGGACAATTAATTCGGCAACAAACTTTATGCGCAACAATCAAGAAATGAAAGAAGGCGCATGGGGACAAGCATGAACGTGGAGAACACAAATACGAGAAAATCAAGGTGTGGAACCCAACGCCACGATGGAAACATCCAATGATGGTAAGAAAAGAAAGTCAAACAATTCAAGCATCGAGAAATAATTCATAAGACATGTACAAAGTCGCAAATTTGAAAGCATCACAGGACAGCAGCACAACAGAATTGCATGAACATGAGGTCAGGTTGTTCGAGCCATACCCGGTGTGTGAAGAGCCACCTGTCGTGACCCTTCTTATATACAAGCTCTGAATCGGGGGTGGGGTATGTGTACCACCCGTCATGTTCACCCCACCCTTCCTGCTAAGCTTCAGTTTTTCTCCAGTACCTACTCATCACGTATCCCTGCCACCCGTACTCGACTACCCCAGGTGGCTGGAAACTATCAGAGGCTAGTACGAAGGGGTACTCTATCAAATCAGTGGGTGGTAGGCCACTGTGTCCCAAGGGTTGTCAAGGCAGGAATGGGGTGTGAGTCAAGCCGGGGTTATACCATACCTATACTATAGCCAATAATTTCATATATAAAGTAGGGGTGATGGTAGGTACCCCTCCAGTTTTCACGGTTCCCTCCACCTCGCCACACTTAGCGAAGGGACAGACGTGTCTCTTCTAAAATAACGGCATTTGTAACCACCCTTGAACAAATGAAACGTACTGTAACGACTTATCATGAGGGCGATGACTAGATGGCTCGATAAGGCCGTTCGTTGACGTAAACTACCCCCAATACCATTGTACCCACCCCTCCTGAAAAAACTACCTACCTGGGTGCTGGGATCCCCACTTGTGAAGTGCTACACCAAGCACCGTATGTTTATTGATAAAGACTACACATTTTCTAAGTGAATCAATAATTGAAATGCAATATCATAAGAGCCTTGCCCTTTTGCCTCCCTACCCCCTACGGTACCGTCATTCCCACAACACCCCCTGTATTGACCTACCCCTAACACTTACTACCCCTATCTTCTGAACCACCTTGACCGTCCAACGTCACTGAAGCCCTTATTCTATACCCCACCCCTTAATAGATACATCCCATCTCTGCAAGTACCGGTACTGATTTCTTTATTACCGGTACTTTCAATATAAAAATTGCCGGTACTCTGGAAGAATGACCTACCCCTTGACTCATTCGATATTCACTACCCCCCATTTAGGGCCCCCTAACGCCAATTCTTCCTGAATCACCCACACCCGCATCGTGTACCCCTCCATCCAGATGACCACCTGGAGATCTGAAATGTACCCACCCTTTTGACCGAAAATTTCCTATCGAAGAACCAGTACTTGAAAACAAGTACCCGTACATTTCATACAAAAATGCGTATGGGTGGGTGCCCCTACCCCATGTCTCTCGACTATAACAACCAACGCTCCAACTGAGTTCATCCTTGCTACCGCACGAAGTTCGCATCCTGGCTACAACCTCCTCCTCCCTCCCTCCCCTCCTCATCCTCTGTCTTGCCCATCTCTTCTATCCCTGACAGAGACTAGTAGAGATCTCTACTAGTCTTCCTCTCGCATCTCCTCCAAATTGCCTCGAAGATACTAGTTCGACGGGGTTTCGAAAACTCAGTCCGTTGGCAACAAACAGCACGACACGTCGCCTTTCTGCCCTTTGATGAAAAGAAAGTTGATAGCCTTGTGAAATGACTACAAGATATCGCATCCCCTCCTCGGCCTACCCGGTCCCCCCTGCCTCTATCCATTCCACAAATCCTCTCCATCCGCCATCTGACAAGCCGAACAATATCATCGAGCACACCAAGAAAGATGCAACTGGCAGGGTCTCCGTCAAGAAGTATCTCAAGGGAGCTCTCCTGGGGAAGGGAGGCTTCGCAAAATGCTTCCAAGTGACCGACCTGGACACGAAGGAGGACTGGGCTTGCAAGATCATCCAAAAGTCCTCGCTGACCAAGCAGAGACACAAGCAGAAGTTGCAGTCGGAGATCAAGATCCACAAGTCCCTCAGCCACAAGAACATCGTTAGGTTCCATGATGTGTTCGAGGACAAGGAGAATGTCTACATCGTCATGGAACTGTGCCCTAACCAGACGATGCTCGAGCACGTGAAGCGCAGGAAGCGGCTGTCAGAATCTGACACCAGACGGTTCATGCTTCAGATCCTGGACGCTGTTCGCTTCATGCACCAGTACAGAGTGATCCATCGAGACCTGAAGTTGGGGAACTTCTTCCTGGGCAAGAACAATGAGGTCAAGATCGGGGACTTCGGGCTCGCCTGCAAGCTGCAGTTTGACGGGGAGAGAAAGAAGACTCTGTGCGGCACCCCCAACTACATCGCACCTGAGGTGCTGGACGGGAAGGACGGCCACAGCTACGAGGTTGACATCTGGAGCATTGGCGTCATCCTGTACACCTGCCTGGTGGGCAAGCCTCCCTTCGAGACGGCTGACGTGAAGTCGACATACAAGCTGATCCAGTCAAACACGTACTCGTTCCCTCCTCGGCTGGAGATCAGCGAGTCAGCCAAGGCGCTTGTGAGGTCGATCCTGCAGTCGAGGCCAGAGAAGAGGCCGTCGATCGAGGACATCATGAGGGACGACTTCTTCCTCGGGCAGGGGATCGCGCTGCTGCAGGGCAGGGACGACCCGCTGAACACAAGCGGGAACAACAGCGGGAACCGAGGGAAGCTCAAGGACGCCCTGATCTTCTCCAGCTCGTCCAACACTGCTCCAACCGATGCCCGCGCGCCCCTCCAGCCCGTGCAGGAGGTGAAGAACGTGGAGCAGGACAAGAACAAGAAGGTCAGGGCGGACGGAGCCCCGTTGGGCCTGGCATCCTGCAACATAGAGAGGAAGCCGATGACTATCCTGTCTGGCCTGTCGTCGGTTGGGAACATCTATCGGCCGATGCTGCAACAGCAGGTTGCCGGGGAGGATATGCAGAGGAACAGCGACAGGGACTCGGAGTCGTCACCCACCAAGAAAGTGACGAAGCAGATGGGAGCGCTGGATGTCAAGGACAAGACCAACTTTCTCCTCCCGACTTCCTCCTCCTCCTCCTCCTCCGATCCAGCCACTACCATTCAACGGAAGGCCTCCGACTGCGGGTCGGACGCGGCATCCTCTGCATCCACAGCCAGCGCGCCTGTCTCGGCGAGGTCGGACAAGGATGTCCCGGTGGCATCGGCCGCCGTTGAGGACGAGCATGCGATGAGGAACATGCACAACAACATCACTGCAGCCCTGAGCTCGGCGGTCAAGGGGTCGTCGTCGTACGTGGGGACCCTGCCGCTGCCCCAGGTGTGGGTGAGCAGCTGGGTGGACTACTCGAAGAAGTATGGGCTGGGGTACAAGCTGAGCAACGATCAGTACGGAGTGTTTTTTAACGACTCGACCAAGATCCTGCTGCAGTTGGACGGGAGCTCGTTCGAGTACATGGAGAGGCAAAGAATGGACGGGAACAACGTCAAGTTTGACAAGCGATCGAGCTACACGATGGGTGAGCGGCCTGCAGAGCTGAACAAGAAGGTGACGCTGCTGGGGCACTTCAAGAACTACCTCAACGACTCGAGCAAGGTAGAAGGAGGAGACAAGGGGAAGGAGGCCTTCGACCGGAGCAACGTGGCGAAGGAGACAGAGGATGGAATCTACGTGAGGAAGTGGATGAGGACGAGGCACTCGGTCATCTTCCGCCTCAGCAACAACTGCTTCCAGATCTCCTTCAACGACGACTCTGAAGTCTTCCTGTGGGCCTCCAGGAGGTGGGTCACGTACCGGAGTAGGACGAAGCCGCTGCGCACGATGGACCTCAAGGATGCGGCATGCGATGCCGACATTGCCAAGAGGCTCAAGTACGCGGATGACATCCTGGTGCAGCTGCTGGCGGCCTGAGGTTGAGCTGGAGACATTTGGCTGTTTTTTTTCCATCTTTTCGGTTATTCTTTGATACGCTTAATAAGAAATTGTTTGTGAAACTTACTCACCTCCTCTCCTTTCTTGTGTCTTCTTTCCGAACCTCATTCCTCGTCTTCCGTCCGCTTCTATCCTTACTCCCCCATCATCATCATCATCATCATCATCATACACTGGCTCTCTCCTCTCATACTCTCCGTGAGAGTTCAGGAGATGCTGAGAAGTTCTACTTCAAAGATGAGAGTGCTGTTAGGAGGGATCTCAGGAGGCGATCCTCGTTTGCCGTAACCCAACCTGCCATGACGTATCAAGCCCACATCCCTGCTCTCCCCTCCTCCTCAACCCCTCCCGCATGTCTTCCCCTCCTCCCTCCTATCCTCCCCCTCGCCTTCCTCCACTCCTCTCGCCTCCTCCTCCTCCCTGCCCTCCTCCTCCTCCTCTCCTCCCATGCACCAACTTTGGAGGGATGGTGAGCTTGCGTTTGCCCCCTTTCTTCATGCCCTTCACGCCTCGGTCCCATCCCTTGATCACTTCCCCGGCATCGATCGTGAACTTGAACCGGCTCGACGCGTCAAACTGTGTCCCGTCCTCCAACCTCCCCACGTACTTCATCGTTACCGTGTCCTGCGACTCTGCAGTCTTTCCTTCCCCCACCTTCATGTCCTCCACCACCATCTTCTCTTCCTCAGGCTCCTCATACTCCTCCCCAGGAATACTGTAGCTGCTCTTGTTCTGCACGAGCTTCCCGTTTGCCACGGCCTTCTTCAGCACCTTGAGGACAAGAGTGTTGTTGTCCACTCCTGTGCTTGCTTTCACAAACTTCTTGATGTACACGAGGCTGCTGCCGCTGCCGATTGGAAGTCAACTCAAAAGAAGATCTGCTCCGGATATGGCACTCCCATTTCCATCATCAAAACCATCATCACCATCATCACCATCATCACCATCATCACCATCATCACCATCATCACCATCATCACCATCATCACCATCATCACCCTCTCAATCTCAATCTCAATGTACATCTCCATCTACATCTCCATCTACACATACTTCTACATCTACATCTACATCTACATCTACATCTACATCTACATCTACATCTGCATCTACATCTACATCTACATCTACATCTACATCTACATCTACATCTACATCTACATCATCTCACCTCTTCTTCTTCTCTTCTCTGATCGCTCGCTTGATCGTTTCCAGCAAATCCTCCTTAGCCATTATCCCGACGACCTCAGCCAACCCCACCCCTACCCCCTCTTTTTCCTTCAGACACCACCCACATTTATACTTCAAACTCACCCCCCAAGAACAGCCCAAGGACCCACCCCACAGAGATAAGGCCTTGCAAGGACCTTTTATCAGCATGCAGATAGCAAGGGAACAGATGGGAACAAGTGCGAGAGAGGAGGAGGAGAGGAGGAGAGGAGGAAGAAGAAGGGGACAAGAGAAGGAAGAGGACAAGGAGGAGGAGGAGGAGATGAGGAGGAGGAGGAGGAGAGGAGAAGCAGGAGAAGCAGGGGGGGGCGGGGGAGGAGAGGAGAAGAGGAGGACGAAGACCAGGAGGGGAGCAGAGGAGGACGAGGACGAGGACGAGGACGAGGAGGACGAGGAGGACGAGGACGAGGACGAGGACGAGGACGAGGAGGATGAGGACGAGGGGTGCTTGAAAGGAAGGCGAGCTTCCTTGTGGAGTACCAAAGATTGGGAAGGAGGAAAGGAGAGATCGTCCTGCCGCAGACACCCTTGAACGGATCCCCTGACTTGACATGCTTGTCTCTCACCCCAATATGCAGGAGGAGGAGGGAGAGAGAGGAGAGGAAGCAGAGAAAGCGCGAACCTACATCATGAACATTGTGGACGATTTTCTCACTTGGGGGGGAGGTACTGCCCTGACCCACCAGCTTCTAACTGACTCGATCATGATGAAAGACTTGCTGTTCAAGTTCCGTCCAGACTTCCCCTTCGAACGTCCCACAAGGTCAGCACGCGTCCCGTCGTTGCACTCATGACAGCGATCTCCCAGCTCTATCCCAGCCTCTTGGTACATCAGCCCCAAGCAGACTTTCGGGGAACTGGTTGTGTGGAATCTCTTCTTCTGGACGCTGACTTACGTGATCTTCATGGTGAGTTGACAAGCCTCGCCATGCTCGTCTCACGCGCATTGGCTGCAGAGATGCGACTTTAGGAGGAGGCTCGGCCTTCCGAAACATGGCGTGAGGAAAGTGACGTATGGAGACGTGTTCTTGGGGTGAGGAGCGAGGGAGAGTGACCGGAGGGAGGGGGGAGGAAAGGAAAGCAAGTGGAAGAGTGTGTGGGAGGGAGGGAGGGGGGAGGGAGCAGAGGGGAGGAGGGAGGGGGGAGGGAGGGGGAGTATGCGCAGATGGTTCACCAGGTACTTTCAGGACACAGGTATTGGCGAGCTTGCTGTGGGTACTCTACTATAAGTACCTCACCAACACGGTCGTCTACATCCTCCAGCCCTGCCACCTCGTCTCCATGTGAGATGGGACCGGTCCTGCTTCCTTGCCGCTGCTGATGACTGGAGGTAGCATGCTAGTCTATCTCTTCTGGTGCAGGGACATCGCGCACGGTGTGAAGAGGGAGAAGACTGAAGTCAGCGCCTGACATCCTCCTTCTCCTCCTCTCCTCCTCCTCCTCTCCTCCTCTCCTCCTCCTCCTCTCCTCCTCTCCTCCTCTTTCCTCCTCCTCTTCTCCTCCTCCTCGCAGGCTCGCTAATCTTCTCCATGTTCACGCACATGAATGTTGGGACGCTCCTCGCCCTCGGTGTGTTCAGCTCCTTCTGTC